GATAAAATCAACATAAAGTATTAAGATAATGCATGAAGTTTATAACTAAATATGCCCATATCAGGAATCAACCTCCAAACCTTGTTTTCTTTGAACTCGTTGAGTTCATCTTGCATTGCTTGCACCCAAATAGAATGATCAAGAGCAACGTTAATAGTTTTGGGTTCAACCTTGGAAAAAAATGAATAAAACATACAAAATTCCACTTTAGAGAATAATGCAGTTTGTTTTGCTTTTTTCTTGGATATCATGAGTACTACTGCAGAAGACTCTCCAATAACTTGGGTTTTCAGATGATCTCTAGTCCATTTGGTTAGTGGAGGGTAATTCAGATCATAAGTAGGATCCAATTCAACGTTTACCTCCTCAAACTCTGATCATACATCCGAATCATCATTCGCATCTTTATTCTCCCCCTCGAATGATGATAGTTCCTCTACTTCAGGAATGGAATTGTCTCCTCCAAATGGAGATCCGTGAGTCATTGTTGGTGGGTCAATTGATGATGTAAAACGCCTTACGTTTGGTGCTTTCTATTTCTATAAGTAGTACTTGATCCCGGAAAAAGGTTAAAGGGATAGGCTTGATGCTAGATCAACTTTTAGGGTCGATTCAGCAGTTGAAGAAGGTTGTAATTTGAATAGATGTTCTCTCTTTCATGTGCTCCCTAACTTTTTCATATGTGATAATTGACTAAAATTTGTTAGGTGTTATCTAAGAACACCAAATTGGGTATCTTGAGGTTGAGAAGGACATCATCCGATCGAGAGAATGACCCTTCAGCGACCTATCTTCTTAATTTAGCTTCTACGACTGGTGAATTGAAAAAGCCTAGTTATTTATCTTCGAAGAAAGTATCCAATTTAGCATTTAGTGGCAAACCTCCTCTCGGACGATCTTCTTATACGAACTTTCTATCCCAAGAAGGAAATAAAAAGGATGTCGATTTTTTTGTGCGATTTTCGGGGAATTGAGACAATTTAATTTGACTAAAAGACTTTCATTATCTCCTTAGGTATTACAAGAAGAGACCATGAATCAAACCAGATCAAAACATTTAGCTGTCGACGGACACACTTTGCCGGAATGTCGATTGCAAACGAAGGATAGCCAAGCCCCGGTTCCCAGGGTTAGGGTATTCCATATTATTTTACCAGCCCCCCCTACAATGGAGTGTTCGTATCTTGTGGTGTGGATTGCTCCCCATGAAATATTGCATTGGCAGTTGAATTAGAATCCTCCCCTTGGAATGTAGTATTCGTGTCTTGAGGAACGTTTGTACTTGTCGGCTGTTTGTGCATATCCTTCTCAGCGTCTTTAATTATTTTCTTCAATTCATCCTCTTTGTTTCCAGCTGCTTTTAATTCGGATGAAATATCCTTTTTTGGCTCATCAAAGAGTAACATGAATTCCTCATAAAGATTGGAGAGAGGAATCATGGTTGGACATGATTTCAGAAAGATATCCTTTGATTGACTATCATTCGACTGAATCCTATTCAAGTAGTTGTCGTCGAACGTGACATAGTAGGTTTCTTCCATCTTTTTGGATCGTTTGTTGAGAACCTTATATGCCGTGGAGGTTAGCAAATATCCAAAAAATATACCATGGTCAGCTTTCGCATCGAATTATTTTGTTGTTTCTTGGAGTTGAAGATGTAACACCTGGAACTAAATACATGGAAAAACTTAATATTAGGTTTGTGATTATTTTCTTATTTCATAAGTAGTGATAGAAAATCGCTTATTCAGGATAGATATGTTTTGGGTCAAGCATGTAGTTGCAATTGCATCCGCCCATAAATAGAGAGGCAGACATGCGAAAGATAACAGGGTTCTCGCAGCTTCGCATAAGGAGCAGTTTCACCTTTCAACTACACCATTCTGTTGTGGAATATAGGGAGTATAAAAAATTGTGTGAAACTCCCTTCTCAACAAGGAATTCTTCAAACGCTTGGTTTTTGAATTGCAGACCATTGTCACTGCGAACATTGCGAACCAGCTTTTTGTAGTTGAAGCTCAATTTACTTGATGAAATCCTTGAGTTTTGGTGTTGCTTTAGATTTCTGTTTAAGAAAATACACCCAAGTGAAACATGAAAAATCATCGACTATCATAAGAATATACTTACTACCACCAGCGATTTCAAATTGCAGATGGTCCAAAAAGGTCAATATGTAGAAGTTCTAGAGGTTCGATGACTTTTGTGTTAACTATTGTAGGATGACTTTTTCTGCTTTGCTTCCCCATTTAACAGGCTGCACATAAGTGATCTTTATCAAATTTCAGGAGAGGAATTCCTCATACGTGACCACCAAGAACAAGCTTGTTGAGGTCTTTGAAGCTGAGGTGCGAAAGTCTTCTATGCCATAGCCAACTTTCGTCAGAGTGAGCTTTCGTCAGTAGGCAAATGGCAGGCTTCCCTCGTATCAGATTCAAATTTAATGGATACATTTATCCTTTACACTTCAACTTAAGAAGGATTTCTTTGGTTTTCTTTTCTATGATTTCAGACCCTTCGTCGTCAAAGGATACCTTTAAACTTATCCCTAAAACTCACTGTGAAACAATGTTGAGGTTGTGATGCAGGCCTTCTACGTACGCCACTTTACGAATAGAAAACTCTGCATTTGTTATCATCCCATAACCTTTAATTTTTCCAAAAGAGTTATTTCCATACTTCACATTTCCACCATCTTTGAGAGCTCGAAATTCTCGCAATTCCTCGTTCCTACCGGCCATGTGATGCGAGCAGCCACTGTCGTTGTACCATTTAGAGTCAAACTGCTCATCACATATTATCTGCGAAAATGAAGCAGATTTAAGAACCTAAAGTTGTTTGGGTCCAAGTGATTCTTTTACAGAAAAGGGAAAAGTAAATGCAAGATCAACAATATAAGTACGTTTAACTAAGGTGGTACTATCTTTCTTTGTTATGGTAAAATCTTTTATCCTATTATCTTTCAAGTTCGTTTCTTTTGAAAAGGATTATTTTTGTTTACTTTTGATTTGATTATTTACAAACTCTTTTTCAACTTTCTTTGAGTTTGTTTTCGATTCTTTGGTTGAGATATTATGGCCTCAGACTAACTTTCATGTTCCTTTAGCCTCTTTGGTTGAGATACTATGGTTTCGTCTGCATTGTCTATTGGAGCAGACAAGAAGTACTCATCACATTCGTCTTTGTTGTTGTCATCTATGAGATAGCTAGACGAAAGGTATCGGCATGAAAAGCAAATCGAATGATCCTAATTGCCTTAACATTGCTGATTAGTTTTTCCTTTTCATCTTGTGGAACATCCTTCACATCGAGAAGTAGTTTTTTATAATCAGATTGAGTATTAATGACTGTTCTGGTTCCAGTGTGAACAAAAGCACCTAGAGTGATAGCATCCCATATAAGATAGTCATTGTCCTCTAAACCAAGAACATAACCTTCAAAATGAAGCGCCCATACTTCATATTCATTGGGAAATAGAATGAAGATCCTAGTTGTCAAACCAATGTTGCTAGAAAGATTTATGGAGTTGATGTGAGAATCGTTGTGCTGCATGATGATATTTTCTTTGAAACCTATTAAGAATCAGATATGTAAACTCAAATAGCTTTAGGGTAATATCAAGATCACTGAACACCATCACGATAACTTATAATAACGACTGAACAAGATCCTATATTAACGGAAACCCTAATAACCCTGTAAACAGAAGAGATGCGTATAGATTACATAGTCTCGTGCTCTGATACCACTTGTTGGGATGTTAATCCTTGAATGATCGATTAGATTCAATCAGATTTAAACAAGAAACATATTAAAACAAGAACACAACGATGACTGAAAATATGTTGAATGATTCAAAAGTCATGCCTCAGAAGAGCTCGATTAAGAATTGCTACTGTAGAGACGTGATTAGGGTTACAAGAAAATAAAATCAGAGTTACCAAAATACGATGCATGCATGCATCTTAAATACTCTAACCCTAGTAAATAAATACGGGAGGACAGACCCAACCTGTTTACAAAACAGACTACACATAAGGCCCAATGACGCAACATAATAATACTAACATGTTTTAGTTAAGAGTTTTATTCTTCAAGAAACGGTTGTAATTCTACATTCAATTCAAAAGTTAGTTTTCACTCCAAGTTCCATTCTTTCTGCATAAAGAACAAAAAAATTTATAAACCAAAATTATAGATGTGTAAAATAAAAAGAAATTAAAAAATTTCTACAAGAATGTGATTAGATTATTAAAAAATGATACAAAAAATACCACATTGAGAAACAAAATCTCTAAAATTATTATTCTTGTAAGATAAAAGAAAATTCTAACATAATGAAATTTTGAGAAATTAAGCATAAATAACAATTTTTTAAGAATATAAAAATATGAAATTAACCATATTTTACAAGAATGTGTACATATTAATTAAGAATGAGATATAAATAAACATAAAAAATCTGAGATACAAATCTCTAAATCAAGAATTATTATGATATAAATGAAAATTCTAACAATTCTTTTAGAATTCGTAGACTATTCTTAAAGAACATAACTAACAATCACATATATTCTTCACTACTAATTGCATAGTACAAAGCTACTGAATAAATAAGAACAATTAGCATGTTAAAAGTAAAAACAGAAAAAGAGTTATGCTTTAAGAAATTTCATATTCCTTTTTCCTTCTAATCTCAAACTCTCCATGACAATAATTCAAATGTCATAATTTTCAAAATTAAACAGAGGAAGTGTTTAGTTAACATATTGTATTAACTTCAATCTCCTTGTTTGCTCTAATCGGAGTAGGTTATATAATTCATTCATTTCCCACAACATGTGAAGGAATCAAAACCAACACATGTCTTACTAACCACAAACAAACACCTAAAAAATCAAGTACCTTAACATGGTTCTTCTATATTCACAGTTATTCCATGTAAAGTTGTAAGACCCAACATCTTAGGGCTAAAAAATTTACCAATACATAATCCTCCAATGGGTTCGCCAATATTTACTCATCTGATTCTTGAAGTCGTAAGCATGAAGAAACAAGTCCCGTCATGTCCTAGTCATCAAAGAGGATTCACAAAACAAACTCCTGCCATGTCGTGTTCATCAAAGAGGATTCACATTGAGTCAAGTAAGAACCTGGGGTTTTCCCCTTGTTTCCATCTAGGTTTGGAGATTTGGGATTACGGTTTTGAATCATCTTAATTTACAAAGGAATTGAACCAAAATCAATCATATAAATACATTCAATTATGACAAAATTGCAAGAATGGTCCCTATGGTTGAAAATTTTTTGAAGTTTTGGTCCAAAACGAAATGTTGGTGCACCACTAGTCCAATTTTAGATATCTTGTGTGGTTTTAGTCCCTATGGTTAATATTTTTTTGTGTTAGTCCAAACCCAACCTAAAATGACGAATATGCCCTTCTGATAGATTTTTTTTATATTTGTTGTATTTAATTTAATGTTTTATTATTAATAAACACACACACACACACACACACACTCTCTCTCTCTCTATATATATATATATATATATATATATATATATATATATATATCTTAAATTAACCCAATATGAAACAATTCTTTGATTTGGAAACCCAAGATCGTCATCCTAGTTTCTAGCCATCTACACTCCCATCAAACACTTACCCAACACCACCCTCTCCTCCCTTACTCCTTCTCCACCGTTGTAATTTTTGGCCGCCTTGCCAGTTTAGATTCTTCAGCTTCTGAAGATGAAGGTGAGAAGGTAGGCATATGTAGCCGTCGTACCATAGTCCAGTCAGTTGCTTCTTCATCCAATGCTGCTCCGTGGCTGCGACAGAGTAAGTCTGTTGCTGCTGATTAAATTAGGGCCGCGACGGAGCAACTCTGTCGGATCTGTTCTTCGTCAATGATACGAAGAAAAGAAGAGGTGATGTTGTGAGGATCAATTCGAGGAATTTAGGGTTCTCGTGCTTTGGAGTGCTAGTGTTGGATATGAAGGAAGATGAAGAAGACGACGAAGAAGAAGAACGTGATGACGATGACGATGACGATGAAATTAGGGTTTCTAATGAGGTGTTTGTTTGAAATGAAGTTGATGATAATGAAATTGAAGAAGAAGGGGATCTAAAGACGATGATGGAGTTCATTGATATAGAATTGGCCCTTTCTCTTTCTTTAAGTGTTTGTATCTTATATCAAAAATCGTAGGTTTAGAGTATGTTGATGTTGTTCTTGATAAAAAAATTGTTTTTCTTGGTGAGCAACGTGGAATTGGGTTCTAATGGTGATGGGATGATGAAGGTGAACGTTATAGGTGATGATGGTGCTAGTGTTGATGGGTTTTTGGTGAGGAACCGATGAAAGGAATCGTGAAAGAGAGTTTGGAACCAATTGATGGGTTTTTATCTGGAGAGAGAGAGAGAGAGAGAGAGAGAGAGAGAGAGAGAGAGAAAGAGAGAGAGAGAGAGAGACCTTTTTCTCAATTTTAATTAATGAAAAACATTTGATTAAATACAAAAAAAGTTAAAAAAAAATATAAGGGTATAATAGTCTTTTTATGTTGATAGGGACCAAAAACAATAGAAAGATTGAATTTCAGACAAGTGGTGCACCAACATTTTGTTTTGGACCGAAAACAGATAATTTTTCCCACCACAGGGACCATTTTTGAAATTTTGTCTTCAATTAGCAATGAAGAGACTAGGGAAAGAAACATGAAACACAAGAGATTGTGTGATAAGAAAAATGGAATTCGTTGGTCACAATCTTAACAGAAAGAAAAGAATACAAGGTAGTTTCCACTATCTGGTTTCTTAAGGGCATGAATCTGAACCCAACTTAGTAAAAGTTACTCGGTTCAAAAAAACTAAATCACACATAAGCATTATGGCACTCTAAAATCATATTTGATTCTTGATTTTAAAGGTATAGAAGTGGACAATGATAAAAATGGTGATGATCTAGCTCTTCCTTTGTATGCTTGTATTTTTTCTCTTTATAACCATCAACTTTGAGTGGTTGTCGATAGGTTGTGGCGATGACTATTGTGGTGGCTCATGGTGATTGGGTAGGGTTGTGATGAGGTTGATGTATTATTTAACTAAGAATTAATTAGAATTAGTTTTTGGATTAATTAAAAGTGTAAGGACTAAAGCTGTAATTGTTCAATAGATGAACAAGAGAGGAATTCTTGAAACATCCTAGGGTTGGCCGAAATTTGGAGGCTCCCTTGGGGTTTCTAGATTATTCTATATGGATAATATGGATAATTAGGGAACTATATAATTCCGGATTTGAAATAATATTATTTTATTTCAAATTAAGGTTTCTACGGTTTTCTTATCAACTATAAATAGGGTCCTTTAGTATCATATCTTTGGCCACTTATAATCCTAGAAGGATAACCGAATTTCCATCCTCTCTCCTCTCTCCTTAAAGTTTTCTTAGTTGGTAAGTTTAGGTGTGAGCCATCAGAGGTACATGATTTCTAGTGCTAGCTTCTAAGTCAATTCAAGAAGGATTCATTTGATTATTTACTAAAATAATCAAGAAGGTATGTAAACCGTAAAACTTTTATTATTTTTGATTTACTAGGTTTATATTAGGTTTCTTGATGTTTAATAGAATATAGCATTTAATAATGAAAACATAGATCCAATTAGCTTGCATGTGAACTTAAAGTTAAGTTATCTTCCACGACATGAATTTGTATAACCTATAAAACCTATTAGTTGTATAAGAGCCCATTGTTTTCAAGTGAATATGCATAATAATTGAATATATCAAATTAGGGTTTATAGAAATTAAACCCTAAGACTTCGAATTTTTTACTTGGGCTATGGTTCTTGAAACCCTAGCCTCCTCCCTTGATTTTGAAATCCATTAGGGTTTGTTAGGGTTTCCTTATTTGATAATTATTGTTTTAATTGGTTAAACTAGAATAATTAAAATTAGATAACCCCAATACCCTTGATAATTGAAATTTAGTAGGGATTGGATTAGGATTAAATTTATATTATTTGATTAATTGTTTAGTAGTAAATAATTATTTAATCCTCAAATGATTTAAATTAATATGATTAATAGCTAATTAAAAGATAAAGACTAAAACATAATTGGTTTAATTTTTAATTAAATTAAGTTTTATTAATTTTGAAATTTTAATATTAAACCTAGTAGTTTAGAAAAGTTTTAAAATACAACATATATATATATATATATATATACACACACACACACACACACACACACACACACAGACACACACTATTATAATATTTATAAGACAAACCAGTCAAATTGATAGTACACCTCATTTATGAAGGCATGCTATAAAGGAGGGGGGGGGGGAGGGGTAAGGAAGCGTCCTGTAAAATGACCCCCATTGAGTGTCCACTCTCACCCACCACTCCCTTGTATGGTGGATGGCCATTAGCCAAATGGATTTGATAGGACATAATCTCATTAAAAGTATAATGATATAAAAGTATTAGAACTTTCTTTTTAAAAATCTCACTCTAGTTACTTTAGGAAAAATTTGAAAAGTATGCTAATCTATGAAAACGCACATCATACTTTAATATGTTGTTAGTGGAGTGTGTGTGGTTAACCGATACAATAATAAGGACTTTAAAGAGAAATGATGGGCATGTAAAAAATTATCATTGTTAATGGAGCGCGTGTGGTTAACCGATATATTAATTAGAGATGACAAAAGACAACGAGGTTGCCAAGCGTGTACGCATGGTTATTCATATCTTGTTTGTGATTCTCGGTATCCCAGTCAAAAATAGAAGAGTATAAAAAGATCTAGGAATATCAATTTTGATTGAAAGTGGTATATTTCCTTTACGTACCTTTATAAAATTATAATTATATTACGACATCCCTATTCTAAATAGTGAATTGCATTAGTTGGGTCCTAGCCTTAAGTATTAATTATTGGTTAAAATTTTAAGGATTATTGGAATCTAACTAAAACTACCTTTTTCATTATAAATGTCTTCTCTTGGTGATGCTTTTTCTCCTCAAACCTCCATACATAACTTGAACTTCTTGCTACTTTCGATCGTATCCAAGGTGATATTGGATGGCACCAACTACAATGATTGGATGCGTAACATTAAGATGGATCTTCGATTTGAGGGTAAAGAGTATGTCCTTGAGAAACATCTTATTGAGATTGATGAGTCCACTACTACTCTTGAAAAGGTTATCTCCTGCAAGAAATATTATGACGATACAACAAAGGTTGCTTGCATCAGGGTTGCCACCATGGTTCATGAGTTGAAAAGGTTCTATGAGGATTACTGGCCATACTAGATGAACTTGGATCTTGTGTAAAAGTTTCACAAGAGAGCTCATCAAGAAAGTATGATGTCGTCAAAGCACTAATAGCTTGCAAGTTGAAGGAATGAGAGTCGGTCTGCAATCACGTGTAAAGAATGTAGAGTTATGTGGAGTGCCTTGAAAGGCTAAATGTGAATTTCAATGAGGAGTTGGCCATTGACATGGCCCTCACATCCTTGCTACCTTGTTATGATTAGTTCATTTTGGCTTATCATTTAAACAATACTAAAACTACAATTACCCAATTCCACAACCTATTACAAACAATAGAGTTGAGAATGAAGAAGAATGAAATCCTTAATTCTACTAGTGTTCATGTCCTTAGTATTGTGAAAAACAAAGAAAGGAAGAGAAAAGGTGCTCCCAAGTCGAAAAAGAAGGGAATGCCTATGTTGGGTCATCTAGCAATGATCCAAAATAAAGGCCCAGTTTTGACATTCCTTCTGTTAGTGATCCCAAAGAGGCCACTTGCTTCTATTGCAATGAAAAGGGCTATTGGAAAAGAAGTTGTCCTAAGTAATTAAAGGACATCAATGATGGAAAAGTCAAGCCATATTCGATAGGTATTTGCATTATTCAAACTAATAAATCACAACCTACTTATTATTAGGTCATTGATGCATGATGTGGATTTCACAATTATTCTGATTTGTAGGGGCTAAGATAAAGTGAGGTGGAGCATGGAAGGATGAATCTGATCATGGGAAATAGGTGATCTTCTCCTGTAACCAAGTTGGAACTTATTGTATTATTTTTGGTTGTGATGTTAGTATGGATTTGATTGATTGTTTCTATTTTTCATAAATGATGCGAAACATTAATTTTTCATGCATTATTTAGAAAATGTTTTCGATATTTGTTTAATGGTATGAACAATTTAAT